GAGAAGCTTCAACTTTTCATTGCATCCAGACCAAGTAAAGAATGTTGGAGAAGAAATGATTTATCCCATTGGGAATGAATTTCCAAAGCTTGGGTTCCATTTCAACAGCCTCACTGCAGTCACACTATTTTCTTAGTGACAGAGAACTGAGAAATTACCAGTGAAACAAGACTATCATGTCCCGTGTCCCTCCATGTTGCAGTCATCAGAAGACTTCAGGACAGCCTTCCTCATTTCTTATAAACTTTAGGCCCTGGCTTATGGTCACTGTTTTCAGCACCAATCTTGTCATCATTCACAGTCATTCCAACATCTATGTGGATGATCCCTTTGGGTCTTCTATCTCCTCTCCTCCATCACTTCTTAGTCACCCACATCCATTGTCATTATCCTCGCCTCCACCACAGTCTACAGACTTCATTTTCTTGGGCTTTAAAATCACTGCAGATGGTGCCTGCAGCTATGATATTAAAAGATGCTTGCTCCTAGGAAGAAAAGGTGTGACTAACCTAGACAGCATATTAAAAAGCAGAGACATTACTTTGGCAACAAAGATCTGTCCAGTCAAAGCTATGGTTTTCCCAGTGGTCATGCATGGTTGTGAGTGTTGTACCATAAAGAAGGCTGAGCACCAAAGAATTGATGCTTTTGAACTGTGGTGTTGGAGAAGACTCTTGAGAGTCCCTTGAACAGCAAGGTAATCAAACCAGTCAGTACTAAAGGAAATCAGTCCTGAATATTCATTGGAAGGATTGATGCTGAAGCTGAAGTTCCAATACTTCGGCCAACTGATGCAAAGAGCCGACTCATTAGAAAGACCCTGATGCTGGGAGAGATTGAAGGCAGGAGGAGAAGGGGACGCAGAGGATGAGATGGTTGGATGGCATCACTGGCTCAATGGACATGAGTCTGAGCAAGCTCTGGGAGATGGTGAAGGACAGGGAAGCCTGGCATGCTGCAGTTCATGGGGCGCAAAGAGTTTGACACGACTGAGCCAACAACAGCAATAACTGACCTCACCCCACTGAGTCCTGACTTCTGTCCTTATAACCCAGCGTGGATTCTGTAGTCCACCATTGTGGTCATTCCCCTGCCTGTGTCCTCTCTCCCTTCATCGTCCTAACTTGGCAAATATCCCTCTACCTTCCCAACCACCCCCCACAACACTGCTTAAATTCGACTCTGCCTTCTCTGGACCTCCACCTAGACAGCTGAACATGGCTGGAGAGAAAGAGGATACAATCATGCAGAGGACTCACTTTTTTCCTTTTAAACGAGATATAGTTTATGTACAAGATTATTTAAGTTATAGGAATACAGCATAGTGATTCACAACTTTTAAATGTTACACTCCATTTATAGTTATTAACGTTATAAATTATTGACTATATTGCCTGTGTCATACACTATATCCTTGTAGCTTGTTTATTTTGTGAAAGTGAAAGTCACTTAGTCATGTCCAACTCCTTGCAACCCCATGGACTATGAAGTTTATGGGATTCTCCAGGCGAGAATACTGGAGTGGGTAGCCTTTCCCTCCTCCAGGGGATCTTCCCAACCCAGGGGTCTAACCCAGGTCTCATTTATTTTGTACATAATAGTTTTTACCTCCTACTCTGCTCCTTTTCCCCCCTGCCCTCTCCCCACCGGTTTGTTCTCTGTGTCTGTTAACCTGTTTCATTTTTTATATTCACTAGTTTGTTGTACTTTATAGATTCCACACTTAAGTGATATCATACAGTATTTGTCTTTCTCTTTCTAAATTATTTCACTTAGCCTGATGCTCTCCAAGTCCATCCTGTGCTGTACTTAGTCGCTCAGTCGTGTCTGACTCTTTGTGACCCCATGGACTGTAGCCCACCAGGCCTCTGTCCATGGGGATTCTCCAGGCAAGAATAGTGGAGTGGGTTGCCGTGCCCTCCTCCAGGGGATCTTCCCAATGCAGGGATTGAACCCAGGTCTCCTATATTGCAGACGGATTCTTTACCATCTGAGCCACCAGGGAATCAGAGTCCAAGTCCATCCATGTTGTTGCAAATGGCAAAATTGCATTATTTTATGACTGAGTAATATTTCATTGTATATATGTACCACATCTTTATCCATTCATCTGTTGATGAACACATAGGCTGCTTCAATATCTTGGCTTTTGTAAATAATGCTGTTATGACCACTGGGGTGCAGGTGTCTTTGAATTACTGTTTTTGTTTTTCTCAAATATGTACCCAGGAGTGGAATTGCTGGATCATATGGTAGAGAGGACTCACTTTTAATTCATTTACTTCCAGTGGACCCTCAGCACTCATGGCAGCCCTGTTACACTTCTCTAATCTGTTACACACCTATTCATCTGTTCTCAAACTCCAAGTAGCTCCTCCCACCTCCACTCTTTTGCTGCTGCTGACCTCATTCTCTATTTCACTGAGAAAAGCAAAGTGATCAGAAGAAAAGTGTCACATGCCATCACAACCTCATGTACCAACCTGCCTGCATCTGCCTGCCTTCCTCTCACTGGGCAGACCATCCATGCTTCATCAGTGTCTTATATCAGCTCTCCCCTGGCCTGCTAATGACATTGCTCAAGCAATTCTCCCTTTCTTTTACTTAATCAGTTTTGCCCTCTCTACAGGATTATTCCCACTGGCAAGCAAGCATGCCTTAATTCAGCCCATTTAAACATCCTGTCTTGACCGCACATCCCCTTCTAGTTACAGCTTTTTTACTCTGTTCATCTTTCCAGCTGAACTCCTTGAAAGACTTGTCTGTATTCATTTTCACCAATTCCTCTCACTTCATTTGCTCTTGATCCTTCTCTTCTCAGGCTTCATCCCTACTGCTCCAGCAAAACAGCCATGTCAGAGTCACCAGTGACCTCTGGTTGCTAACCCCAGTGGTCATTTCTCAGCCGTCATCTTACTGACTAAACAGCAGCGCCTGATTCAGTTAATCAGTCTTTCCTGCTTGAAACACCCTCTTCGTCTGGCTTCTGGGCACCACATCCTTCTGGTTGCCTCCTACTTATTGACTCAGTCCCCTTGGTGGTTTGGCTTCATCTTGGAGACACAATGACACTGGAATGCCCTAGGACTCCATCCGTAGACTTCTTTCCTTTTTCATCTATGCTCACGCTGTGGGTGGATGAGTATCATAACTTTGAATTGCCCTCCATAGAGTTTATACATTTACGCAAATAGTCATTATTCACTCAAGGACAATCCAAATTAATTTAGTTCCAAATGTTTTTCTTAACTGGGAATTTTTCAGTGATTCATGGAGAGCTTGCCTATAGTCAGGGTAGCAGATATGGCATCACATTGTGATAATTTTCTGATCATGGGATAAAGAGAGATTGTATGCAACAAAACAAAACAAACAAACAAACAAACAAACAAAAACCCCAAGGATACTCTGTAACAGATATCTCAGTGAGAATGTTTAAAAATTAAATTGTGTTTTCTGTTGTCAACTTCTTAGACTGTGACTTTAGAGCTTCTGATGTTCATACTTAAGATAAGCCTCCAGCAATTAGAATGCAACAATGGTAAAGCTAAAATATCCCCCTTCTTGTGATTACTTGGTTATAGTTTCTTCATTGGGTGTTTATGTATTTGATTAAAAAAGGCAAATAGCACTGACACACTTCTTATAGGAAAAAAAATTTCATGTCACTTACCAATATGGGGAGCTTACCAACATGGGGAAGCCACATTTATGTGATGACATCTGTTAAGCCTTAAGTCTGAGATGGTTAATTAAGATGAAGCAAACTGTGTTGCTTGTGGATCTTTGTTGTTTTTTAATCACTGACCTTTGTTATCTGTAGGTTTTTACAGAATGAAATTCTTATGCTATTGAGTGTGAAACAATTGTTTTTTAATCACTGACCTTTGTTATCTGTAGGTTTTTACAGAATGAAATTCTTATGCTATTGAGTGTTAAACAAATCTGATCAAGACTTTATGGCTAAACAGCTTACATGAAGAAATTAAAAGATAGTGTGAAATAAATGGGGCTTTTGTAAGAATCCTGCCAAATGTTTTTGTAACCATTTTTCTCTGCCTAGTCAGGGAACAAGGAGGGAGGAGGAAATTATGGTGAAGAAAGTCTTATGAGAAAGTGGAGAAAGTGAAAATGCATCTTTTTCATCAATGTATTATGTTTCCAGGCTGCCTAGTATATCGTTTTCACCTGGAAAACAAAAACTCAGTGACTTTGAGAAGAGCTGATTCAACAATTAATCAATATAATCAGTGTAGATAATTAATCTGGCCTCTTGAGGACCCAAAGTGAATTATCTATAAATTACCTGCACAGTTGCCAAATCACCCTCTGAGTTTGAACTTCATAGAAACGTTCTATATCTTGAGATTGTCCTATTGTGTTATTTGTAAGAATTGGCCTTTCAGATGTATCTTTGCCAAGCACTATGTCTGAGTGCCATGGTGCTTTAGAATGTGCAGATGTGTGCTAAGATCCAGTTGGGCCTACAAAGAACATTGTAAGCTATGATTTAGTAATTAATAAGACTGATCCAGGGACTTCCCTCATGGTCTAGGGCTAAGACCAGTGCTACCAATGCAGGGGGCCCAGGTTTGATCCCTGCTTAGGGAATTAGATCGCACATGCCTCAACTAAGAGTTCACATGCTGCAATTAAAACAAAACAAAAACAAAAATGCATGCTGCTACTAAGACCTAGCACAGCCAAACAAATTAATAATTAATTTTCAAAAATAAGACTGATCCAATAGTTTGCAACTTTGAGACAGACTCCTTAAGAATAAGCTCATGTACCCTAGAGAATTGTGGAATTTTTGAAAAGATAATAAATGCTTATCTTTTACTGGGAATGCATTATGGTAGAATGCCTTTTCTGGCCTCATTCAGAGTTGAAGGAAAAAAGCATGATTTGGGGTGTTAAACTTTTCTCTGCTCATTTCAGTAATTGCCTTAGACGCCGTTTCCATGACACAGTTTTCCCCTTGGCCGTTTTCTTGGCAGGTTCCAGAGGGAAAAGTAGTAGTTCTTAATTTCCGATTCATAGACCTGGAGAGTGACAACCTGTGTCGTTATGACTTTGTGGATGTGTACAATGGCCACGCCAACGGCCAGCGCATCGGGCGCTTCTGTGGCACGTTCCGGCCTGGAGCCCTTGTGTCCAGTGGCAACAAGATGATGGTGCAGATGATTTCCGACGCCAACACAGCTGGGAATGGCTTCATGGCCATGTTCTCTGCCGCGGAACCAAATGAAAGAGGTATTGTTCCCACATTACGGCAATTATAAGGGCCCATAGTTACTGAATGACTCCTGTATGTCAGGCACTGTTCTAGGCACTTAATCCAAAGTTTAAGAGCAGTTCTTCTCAAACAGAGATAATAAATACCACCAAATCATCAAAATGTTAGTTACTCAGTTAATTCAACTCTTTGCAATTCCATGGACTATAGCCCACCATGCTCCTCTGTCCATGGAATTCTCCAGGCAAGAATACTGGAGTGGGTTGCCATTCCTTTCTCCAATGGATCTTCCCAACCCAGGGATTGAACCCGGTATCTGGCATTGCTGCAGATTCTTTACTGCTGAGCCCACCAAACTATCAAGAGACCACTAAAAAAATCAGTCTTGCCAATGGGCAGGGGTTGGAGAAGGGATGGACTGGGAGTTTGGGGTTAGCAGATGCAGACTGTTACATATAGAATGGATAAACAACAAGTTCTACTGTATGGCACAGGGAATTATATTCATGTATTCTGAGATAAACCATAGACAAAAATCAGTATTTTTTTAAAGCCCATATATATTCTTATAAAATTCAAATGTAGAAATTCATGGAGTAAAAAATGTGAAACCTTGCATACAGATATAGAGACTTTTCGCCCCATTGTAGTCCTCTCTTAGAAATAGCCATGCATAGTTGGGGGGTCACATACATGCTTTGTGCACTTACTTATAAGTTTGTACTTTTGCAATAACTTTTAACACGTGTAAGTGGGATCATGCTTTCATATTGTTTCACAGCCTTTTCTTTTTGCATCGCCCTACAAGTTTGAGTAGTTTCACATCAGTACATGTGATCTCCCAAGGGTAGAAACCTCCGTCCTTCTAAGACAGCTGCAATGGCCAAGATCTGCAGCCTTCTGCCCAAGGGCACTGCCTAATCTTTTCTTGTCTTGGACTGTAGCTCAGCTTCTCTGGTTTGAGATATTAGAGTACAGAATCTGGGGCTGACAGAGCAGCCATAATACTTGGGAGAAAATCCTGGCTGGGAGCTTCTGAAGAATTGAGACACAAAATATACATATAAAATCCACTCAAATCTTTGGCTAACAGCTAAACTCTACATATATGGGGGAGAGTGCAGGTGGCCTGGCACAAAAGCATCATCTGGAATATGAAGAAACCGATCCAAGATACAGCTGCTGCCCATTAGCAGGGTGATAGACTTCGAGCTTGGATCTAGCCAAGTTGAATGCCTGCCAGAACAAAAATCACTTTTCATTGGAACACAGTAGAATCTAGAGACTTTATAGTGTATCATTCATAATGTCCAGTATCCAATCATCTGATGAAACCAGGAAAGTTTGTCTTTATACAACAAAAAAAGCAGTCAATAAAAACTGACCCCCAGGGCTTCCCTGGTGGTTCAGTGGTAAAGAATTAGCTTGCCAATGCAGGTGATACAGATTTAAGCCCTGATCTGGGAAGATCCCACGTGCCACAGAGCAACTAAGCCCGTGCACAACTGTTGAGCCTGTGCTCGAGAACCCAGGAGTCATAATCACCGAGCCCACGCGCCGTAACTACTGAAGCCCATGCACCCTACAGCCTGTACTCAGCAACGAGAGAAGTTACCACAGTGAGAAGCCGGCACACCGCACCTAGAGAGTAGCTCCCGCTCACCACAGCAAGAGAAAAGCCAGTGCAGCAACAAAGACCCAGCACAGCCAAAAATAAGTAAATAAATAATTAAAAAAAAACTGACCTGCAAATAGCCCAGAGGTTACAGTTAGCAGACAAGCATTTTAAGGCGGCTATTATACATATGTTTAAGGATTTAAATGAAAATATATGTGTAAAAAAATAAACTGATTGGGAATATCAGAAACAAAATGAACCATAAAAAAAGAATACAATAGTAATACTAGAGCTGAAAGATGGAGATTTTGAAATTTTAAAACTTATCTGAGGGACTTACAAGTAGATTGGAGATGGTAGAAGAAAAATGCAGTGGTTTTGATTAGAACTGACTCAATCTGAAGAACCAGTAGGAAAAAGATGAAAAAAAGACAGTCTTAGAGACTAGTGAGACAATATCAGGTGGTCTAACATATGTGTAATTTGTGCCTCAGAGGAATAAGAGAGTGATAAAAGTGCAGAAAAAAGGTATCTCAAGAAATAATGGCTTGAAGCCACCCAAATTTAGTGAAGAACATCAATTTACAGAGCTAGGAAGGTCAACAAACCCCAAATGAGATAAGTAAAAAAATGAAGTCACACCTGGGCACATCATAATTAAAGAAATCAAAAGATAAAGAGAAAATATTAAAATCAACCAGATAAAACACATATTACATATAGAAAAACAATGGTATGAAGGATGGCTTTCTTTTAATCAGAAACAGTAGAGGCCAGAAGGCAGTGGAACAGCATCAACCCAGAATTCTATAACCAGACTTCAAAAATGAAAGTGAAATAAAGACATTTTCAGATAAACAACCATGTCACAAGAAATATTGAAGGAAGTTTCTTAAATTGAAGGGAAGTGGCCCCACAGGGTAACCGGAAGGTAATAGAAGGATTGAAGGCCACTGGAAATGGTAAATATAGCAGACTATGTATTATTTTATTTTCTTCTCTTCATTTCTTTACCATGTGTCTGTTCAAAACAAAACAAAAAGCTTAAGTGTGTATTGTGGCAAGTATGATATATGATATATATGACAACAGTGGAACAAAGGATGGAGAAGCAAGTGAAAATATACAATATATGAAGAAATATTCTGTTAACTCTAAAAGGCTGTGATAAGTTAGATATGCATATTGCAGTCCCTAGAGAACCCATTAAAAATGCCCTTTTAGTTTTAACTAAAAGCCAAAAGGTTAAAATAAATACCAGAATTATTTAACCACTGCAAAGAAGGCAGGAAAGGAAGAAGAGATGGAACAAGAGAAAGGTGTGACAAATAGAACAAAATAGTAATTGGTACACTCAATGCAAGCTTATCAATAAACACATTACATATAGAGGATTAAATACTCCAATTAGAAGACAGTAAGTATTAGAATGGGTTAAAAAGCAGAGCCCAACCATAATTGTCTACAAGAAAGCACTTGGAATATGAAGACAAAACAGGCTAAACATAAAAAGATGGAAAAATATGTGTCATACAAACTTCATTAAAGTGAAAACTAATGCTTATAAAAAGATAATTTTACATAGATAGCCTAAAGAATAGGAAAAACATTTGCAAAAATACCTCATAACAGACTTTATTCAGAATGTATAAAGAACTTATATAACTCAACAGTAGAAAAAGATCCCAATAAATATAAAAATGGGCAAACCCTTGAACATTTATTTTCCAGAAGAAGATACACAAATAATTCATAAGTGCATGAAAAACTGTTCAGTGTCATTAGTTAGCAGGGAAATGCAAATTAAAAATACAATGAGATACCATTACATACCCACCAGGTTGAGTTAAAAAAAAAAAAAAAAAAACTGATGACAATTAATGGTGGCAAAGATGTGATGCAACCAAAGTTCTCATCCCTTGAGAGGCATAAAATACTACAACCACTTGGGGAAATATTTTGGTAGTTTCTTATCAAGTTAAACATCTACATCTACCCTTGGCCCAGCAATTGCATTCCTGGGTGTTTATATAAGAGATATTAAAATACAAGTCCACCAAGAGATTTGAACAAAAATGTCCATAACAGCTTCATTCACAGTAGCCCAGACTGGAAGCAACCCAAATGGATATAAACGGGAGAATGGGTGAGCAAATTGTTGTTTCCACACCCCAGAATACTACTTAGCAATGTCAAGGAACAAGCTACCAACACACACAGCAATTTGAATGTATCTCAGACATTGTGCCAGGCAAGAGAAGTCAAACACAGAAGAGGAACACCATATGATTCCATTTATATGAAGCTCTAGAATAAAAGTAATCTACAGTGAAATCTTTCAGAAAAGTGATGTGGAGATCCAGCAAATTGACTGGTGAGGGATATAGAAAGTTTGGATACATACATCATAGGCGTGTGGCTCACACAGGTGTAACCATTTTTCAAATTTTTACAGCTAAGATTTGTGAATTTCAAAGTATCGAATTTACCTCCCCCAAACCTATAAAGTAATAATAATAATAGTGCAAGTGGTGGGCACTGGTTAGCTATATTGATAGAATAGTAGAATGATGGGATTTCCCTGGTGGTCCAGTGGTTAAGACTCCACACTCCCAATGCAGGGGGCCTGGGTTCAATCCCTAGTTGGGGCACTGACGGTCCATATGCCACACAGCATGGCCAAAAAGGATAAATAAATAAAAGACATAAAGAAAAGAATAGTAGATTGATGATACTTGTTGAAACTGAACGATGAATACATAGAGATTCATTATATTGTCTGTTTGCGTTGCATATGCTTGAAGTTTTCCATAAACAAAAAGTTGTACAAATTATTCCAACCTCAATTTCTATAATACATTGTCTTCAATTTAAAGAATCCTTTTAAGATGATTAGCTTCTGTGTCAAAGAAATATTTTATTAAAGTATAAGAATGAGTTTCAGTTTTTCTTTGTTGGTTAAATCCAAGTAAAATTAAATTAAAACTTGTATTGAAATATCTTTCTAAAATTATTTCAATCAACATATGCATAGAGATATCTGAAATGAGTTTGTCATATACTTATTGTGGTTAATTTTAAGTGATGGGATTTGAGGGAATCTTACCCCAAATTTAATCCCCCCCAACCCCCATGGGGAATAAGCAGCTTTACTAGGAGTCTAGGTGTGTCCAGGAAACCCAATTTAGTCCCAGGGAAGTGAGGCTAATATTTGCACAGGCCAGGAAGCTAGCATTGCAGAATATTCGCTTGAAATCCAGGTGTGAAACCAAACCTTCATCCTTAGTAGCCTCACTGTCAGAACTACTGCTGAGCCTGGCTCTGGTGAAACTTCCGGAACCCCCTAGTGAAATAATGCGACTTGTGCCTAAAGGGAGAACCTTCAGCATGACTGAGTCTGGGCTTAGTCTTAGGTTAGGGTCTGGGGTGGGAGAAATAGAGGAATGGTGGGGGACGGTCTCACCCCCCACACAGGGCCATCTCAGTGTGCAGGTGAAGGAGGAACCGAGTGTTTGGGGACAGAGGGCAGCAGAGGGACGCAGGCTAAGGAAGCACAGTCCCTGTCAAACCGTACAGGCCTGTGCTGGGTGGTGTGAGGGCGCCGCCAACAGCCCCTTCCTGAGGCTCCTGGGGGATAGTGAGAGTCATTTCCTAGGCAGGTTGATAAAAGAAGTCTAGGGGTCCCCAAGGAGAGAGGGGTCTGGAATTCTCAAGGAGGAAGAAAGGACAACCTATTTTTCCCTCTACATTCCTTAGGGTTATATAACAATAATGTATCCTGCTTGAGGACAGTCTCTGGAAAAAAACCTTCTGGCTAACCCTGTTATCTTAAGGTGTAAATTATGGGAGTAGGTCTAGTGAGGTCTATACAACCTTCAGACATTCTTTTGATTCACTGTAATAACTAATTAGAGAGTACATAATTCCATTGCTAACACTAGCAAGGGGTTACTCTTTCTTCCCCCTTCTGATGTCTATGTCAGAAGCTTTCTCTATCTCCTTTATACTTTAATAAAACTTTATTACACAAAAGCTCAGCGATCAAGCCTCGTGTCTGGCCCCGGATTGAATTCTTCTCCTCCGGAGGCCAAGAATCCCAGCGTCTTTGCTGTTCAACAACAACCTTTCAGTAGCTTTCCTGGTTCTGTTCTGACGTCATTCAGAGCAGAAATGCGCATGCCCGGCACCACGTCCAGCGGCATGGTTAGCTGTGAGGTGCGGAGCCACCCCACGCGACACCTGTACCTGTTAATCCGGCAGACTTTTCTGGAGCGGTCACTTTTCTCAGACCAGGAGAGAGCTTGCCTGACATCAGCCTAATCTAGAAATCAATCCTACCTTTATTGCTTTTCTGTATTGCTGACAGTTTATAAACATATATTGTTTTGACAAAATTATTCTTGAAAATTGTGAAAGATTTATAAACAGTTTTCTAGTAATAAGAGTTGCCTATAATAGCTCATTCAAATTTTGTCCATGGACCTGAATTTTAGCCTTATTAATAAATACCCCTGCCTTGAGTTCTTAAATGTATAGAGTTGGTTGAGCCTGCATGGTTTTTGAATGAGTGAGTACCCGCCCAAATGTTTGGTCTCATCCAAAAAATGGGGAAAAGAAAAGAGTCTATGGCCCTCATTTCACTCCTTCACTCTCTTCTGCTGATGTGATCTGTCAGGTAACCTCAAGATCATTCTGTGTGTGCGTATGTGTGTGTCTGTGTGTGTGTTTAAAGAATATGCAACCATTTTTTTAAGGGAAAAACTAAAAGCGTCTGCTATTGCCTTTATTATGTTATCAATATTCTAAGTTACTAATTTCCATATGGTTGCATTGCCATAAACTTGGACTTATTTTCATTTTTAATAACTTCAGGTGATCAGTATTGTGGCGGACTCCTTGAAGGACCGTCCGGCTCTTTCAAAACCCCCAACTGGCCAGACCGTGATTACCCTGCAGGAGTCACTTGTGTGTGGCACATCGTAGCCCCAAAGAATCAGGTGAGGTTCCCTGAAAACATGAAGAAAGTATGCATGTGTGAATTGCACAGTGTGAACTGTTAAAGATATACAGGCAAGGAAGGCCCTGCTGGACACAATATTCCTTCATGCAGAGACCTAGGTTAAAGTTGCCTTTGTGCTCTTTGACTTGCAAAGTCATGGATTTAATTTCCCATTAGAGAATTATAATTTTCAACAGGTTTAAAATACAAATGGCCTGCAAATCCCACATGAGGTTGTTTAAACACTGTGGAAGGTGTTATAAGCACGGGTTTATGAGCAGCAGTGACTAACTGCAGCAGGACAACAAATCCCCAAGTTTACGTACACCTAAGGTTACCATCTGCTCACAGAGCATCATGTGCTGGTAAGAGCCCTCCGAATCACCAAATCCAAAACAGCCAGAATGCTTCACTTCAACAAAGCCAGTGCAAGCACATCACATCATCTTTTCTAAGAACAAGGTCTCTGACATGAAAACTGCTGTGCTCCGTGGTGGTTTTTCTTTTTCTTTTTTGGTTGTTGTTTAAAATTTGTGCAGGTTCCCCACAAATAACTATTCATTGCTCTAAAACAATCAACAGAGATCTAGTTTTCCAGTGTTTATTAGTTTGTGGTTATATAAATTTTTACCCTTTCTGGGGACCACTTTCAGATGTTAATTTCAGGATGGAACTTAGCATCAGAATAGACCAACTCTTTGCTATAGAATTTTGAAAATAACTTTTAAAAATTATTATTATGGGATACATTATAGACTTTAATCCAGGCACTATATGGTGACTATTATGATATTGTTAAAAAGTTTTTTTTCTAACTTGATCTTTTGTTTACACAAATACTGTTTGCCATATATTCATTTCCTTAGTGGAAAATTATTCAGACAAATATACCATTCAACTCAGTGATTTGAGTGCGCACACACACATACTTTGATCATAATCCTAAAACTCAGTTTTATGTTTAAATGAAAAATTTACTCATTTATTTGATAATAAAGAATTTTGTAAATCTATTGAACATTTTATAGTTTAAGATAACATTTAAAAATTAAATTTATCCAACATTTAAGCTATTATGTAATTCTTGAGATTGTATTGATCATTTTTCTCTTTGTGTCATTTGTAAATATGTTAGATTAAGTAATTTCCATGTAATTATACTTGCAGATTACAACTTAGCATCTTTTCCCCAAGTTTTTCTCTTTATTTAAATTACATTTGGATTTTGTTTATGTAATTTTTGGCTTTAGCCAGTTGAGTCTCTAGTCATAGTTGTAGTGTCTGAAATCAGTGGAAACTGTCCAAATGAGAAAAATAATAAGAGAAAATTAAGTCTTAAGTAATTTCTATGTAAATCTTTGGGCATTTTCTTCTATTAAAAGACATCTTTAAAAAAAAATCATAGCTTTCCACTTTACCCTCCTTATTTTTATCTTCTCTCCAAAAATTTGTAACCAATTTCTAAGTAGAAAAAGTTCAGCCAATTTTTTAGTAACCTGGAATGCATTTTATTTCTGACCAATGAAAAGTTACAGGACCCAAAAGGGAAATATTTTAATGTAACTTAGAGCAGTGTTGAGTATGAATAAGCTATTATTCACCCTTTCACTGTGCTTTTGAAAAGTGGATAAATATGTGGATATGTGGCAATCATGTTCAAAGCCAAACTTTCCTTTTATGTCTCTTTGTGATGTCACTGCTGTTACAACTTCACCCACATTACTGTCCAAGTCTTCGCTAGCTAATAGCTAATAACAACGTGACTGTCCTAACATTAGTTAACACCTATTATCTTCCATAAGCAGTAGGGAGTGTTGCCTGCCCACGCAGGAAGAATAGGGACCAGACTCTGGGTGCCATGGCTATCTATGAACCCAGTGAGACTTCCTTTGATTCATATGGTGGAGGTACTCTTCAAAGATCTGCTTTTATAAGGGGAATGGTTGCTTTTAAATCAAAACTTCCTATTGACTTGAGTGTTTTAGGACACTATTGTTGGTACCAGTGCCAAAAAAAAAAAAACTTCAGAAATCTAACACTGACTTTGTGCATTCATGCTTCTATGCAACCTCTTTAAAAGTCAACCAGATTGCCAAGCACACTGTGCTTGGCAAACACAGTCTTAAAACATACTTTCAGAGTCAATTCCCACTTCCCCGAACCTCTGGTCCTGAAGAATTTGAGTTCTTTGCATGTGATGGAAATATTAGTCTCCTTCCCTTGAAGGTAGAACTGCTGTGTCTACCCATCTCAGCCAACCAAACACGTACACAAACACCACATCCCAACATACACTACTTCAGGGGACATTGTAGGTAATACTTTTTATTTCTATCAGTTTTCCTCTAGAGAAGAATGAAGTTGGTATATAGCCCCAATTTCCACTCCAATACAAACCCAATTTAAGTCTTAATATAGTTTGCTAGGATTATGTAGTGTTTCTGTACTTTCTTAGCTGTAAGTAAACAGAGTTCCCATGTGTAAAATCCTAAATCGGTAACCTTAACAATGCATTCTAATATACACTTGTTGTTTAATCACTGAGTCGTGTCTGACTCTTTGCGACCCCGTGGACTTTAGCCCGCCAGGCTCCTCTGTCCATGGGATTTTGTAAGTGCAGACAAATACTGTTTGACTCCACTTATACGAGGTACCTAGAATAATCAAATTATAGAATCAGAACGTACATTGGTAGATGCCAGGGACCGGCAGTGGGGGAGGAAGAATGGGGACTTGGAGTTTAATGGGGACAGAGTTTCAGTTTAGGAAGGTGAAATATTCAGGAGATGGATGACGGTGAGAGTTGCACAACAGTGTGAATGTAAGTGCCATGCAACTATACAGATACATACATCTGACTGTTTGTGACCCCGTGGACTATACAGTCCATGGAATTCTCCAGGCCAGAATACTGGAGTGGGTAGCCTTTCCCTTCTCCAGCAGATCTTCCCGAACTAGGAATCAAACCAGGGTCTCCTGCATTGCAGGTGGATTCTTTACCACCTGAGCTATCAGGGAAGCCTGATTAAAATTGTATGTTTTAAATTATGTGACTTTTACCACAATTAAAAAAACATTTTAAAAAATCCTAACTAGGGTTGATCTGGGCTTTAAGTGATCTTTTGAAATAGTTAAAAATGAAAGCAAGAGAATAACACAATGTTGTTAACTAAAGAAGTTTGAAAACGATAAGAAAAAATTTAAACAAGGTGAATACATTTTTTTTAGGAAGGAAAAACACAGTACCCTTACAAACCTGGGGAGAGGAGTAATTCTGTTTGAGGTTATCCTGCACTACCCCCTTTGACCCTTCTAATGTTGTGCTTTCACTAAAGCTTATAGAATTAAAGTTTGAGAAATTTGATGTTGAGCGTGATAACTACTGCCGGTACGATTACGTGGCTGTGTTTAATGGTGGGGAGATCAACGACGCTGAAAGAATTGGAAAGTATTGTGGCGACAGCCCCCCTGCGTAAGTAGCACCTGTTTTATTTTAGGGGCGCTAAACTTGTTTCTTATGAACTGATTATTTTTTAATGTTTTTTAAGTATTTCTTCCTTTATTCGGCTACATCAGGTCTTCGCTGCAGCACACGGGATCTTTGTTATGTTGTACACATGGACTCTCTAGTTGTGGCGTGTGCGCTTCAATAGTTGTGGCACACCGACTCAGTAGTTGTGGCATGTAGGGTTAGTTGCTCTGCGGCTTGTGGGATCTTAGTTTCCCAACCAGAGATCGAACCCAAGTCCCCTGTATTGCACGGGGCAGTCTTAACCCATGGACCACCAGGGATGTCCCCTAAAATTGCCCAATTATATTGTATTTTCTGGAAGATGTTGTGTTGTTGTTTTGTTCACAAATTCTTGGGTTCCTTCCCAGTGGAGTCCCATACAGCAACAACACAAAGAATAGCCAACCCAGAGAGCAAGGCAGCATTAACAAGAGAGTAGAGAGACCTGGGCAGCTGAATAGATAAACAGAAGCAGAGTTGGCGATGCCCCAGGCGCAGATGCTAAGCCAGAGCCCTAGAAACCTCCCTGCCCTGTGAGGGGAGATCCAGTGTCAGAGCAGAATTAGGAAAATTCTAAGGAAAAATCTGGGGGCTGTTTATTGAGAATCCAGATGAGGAAACCTGGAAGCTTGGGCTAGCTGGATGCAGATGATTTTACCTGATGAGAGGTCTGTCCTGGACCTTTGGGGGCTTTATGCTTCCTCACATGGTTGCCCAAATTCTTGCTAAGTAAGCCCTGGTAGCTCAGACTGTAAAAACTTCACTTGCAATGCAGGAGACCTGGGTTCGATCCCTGGGTTGGGAAGATCCCCTGGAGGAGGGCATGGCAACCCATTCCAGTCTGCTTATCTGGAGAATCCCATGGACAGAGGAGCCTGGTGGACTATAGTCCATGGGATCACAAGAGTCAGATGCGACTTAGTGACTAAGTTACATGTCACACCTTCGCATACAATACTAGTAAAGGTGGCAGTTTAAATGACTACTCCTTGCCCACAAGTCACCATTGTGCTAATTTAAATAGTCTTTCTAAAAAATATATATAGTCTTTCTTACCCTGTTCTTCAACCTAATGAGAGTATCTGCATCACTTGATCTTAGTGAATTTCTGTGATTTCCCAAAGGCACATTAGAATTAAAGCACAGCATTTTCTTTATTTTTTATAAATTTAGTTTTATTTATTTCTTTGGCTGTGCTGGGTCTCAGTTGTGGCATTCAAACTCCTAGTTGCAGCATGTGGAATCTAGTTCTCTGACCATGGATCAAACCCGCCCCCTCTCCCCCCATCCCCCAGGCATTGGGAACATGGTGTCTTAGCCAGTGGACCACTGGGAAAGTCCCAAGTTACTTGCCAGTTCAGATTCATTTATATTTATTAAGTTTGATAATATTAAGAATTTTAATATGTACAAATAGTAGTAATTTAGACGAGTGTGTAATCAGTCGCTCAGTCATGTTTGACTCTCTGTGACCCCGTGGATTGTAGCGCCCGCCAGGCTCCTCTGTCCATGGGATTTTCCAGGCAAGAATACTGGAGTGGGTTGCCATTACTTTCAAAATTACTATACACAAATTTGGCTTTGGAGATGACTATATGACACCAATGTGGTTGAATTAATTTGCCTTCCCCTCCAAGGGAGAAAAATAAGGAAAATTGGCTATTTGGGGCCTTGGCTTCTGGTGAAAGGGAGAAAAAATAGTCTCTGGTGGGAATTCTTAACCAAAAACCAGTCCACATGTGAATTTGAGGTTATAATTTACACTACCTGACTATTCCCCAAAAAATACAGTCAGAAACTTAAAGAATTTCCAAGTTGTGAGTGCCCACATGGTAGGACAGAGGAAAACACAAATCCTCGCTGAAAGAATGCATCTTAACTTAGGCTTTAAGAATTCCTATAAATAGTTTCAAGAAATACAAGTACTAATCAAAAAAATCATGAAACATGAAGAAAAAGCCAACATAAACAATCATCAGCAGAAACAAGCTATAATCAGTCCTACAGAGGCCTGATTATAGTAATCAGTAAAAATATAGTAATATTAAAACATACATATTTTAATTTTATATTAATTAAATATAAATTAAATATATTAATTAAATATTAACTATATAATTACTATATATAGTAAAATATAGTAAAATTATGAGATACAGAATGTAAAATAAGTATGTGCAAAGAAATTCATGTAAAATATATTACTTGAGAGCCTTTAAGGTACAGACTGTTGAAAGTGAATAAGAACCAAGAGACGTTTAGAAATGATCAAATAGATTTAACAAAGAATCTAACAGAATTTCCAGAACTGAGATATATAATAGTTTAAACAAGAAAGTTAATACATATGTTAAATAGTTGATATGACATAGTTCCAGAAAGGATTTAAGGAACTGAGAAACAGTATGAAGTGATTACCTGAAACATGGCACAAAGAGACAAATGGATGGAAAATATGAAAGAGAGGTTAAGATTTATAGAAGCTAGAGTGAAGGAACCTAATATATACTTAATCAAGTTTCCATAAGAAAAAATACAGAATGTAGGAAATTTAATGTTTGAAGAAATACTAGCTGAGTGTTTTCCAAAATGGAGGAGAGATATCAATGATCAAATATGAGAAGTCAATAAAGCCTAAGCAATCTATATTTTAATAGATCCATGCCTACACGTATTATAGTAAAACCACAAAACAGCAAAGAAGGATGTTAAAAACATCCAGGAAGAAAAGACAGATTATCACAAAGAGCCTAACTGACTTCTCAGTACAACAATGAAAGTTAGGTCTTAGAAAAATATCTTCAAAATGCTAACACAAAATAACTGTCACTCTAGAATTAATTGCCCAGAAAAACTTCTCTTTTGTGAATGTGGGTGAAATACAGACATTTTCAGTTGAATAAGAGCTGAGACAGTTTACTACCAACAAAGCCAAACTAAAGAAACTGCATTATGACTCTAAATCAGGCAGAAAAGCAATGGCCACAGAATAAAAGACAAATGCAGGAACAAACACTGAGCAAAGATACTGGATATAGAGTTGAAGGATTCTCGGGTCTCTGTCTTGTTTGAGAATTGGGTGATGATATTGTGAAACTTTATAATATGCCAAAGTAAATGTGGATGGTGAATTGAGGTAACCTCTTAAAAAAAAGTAGAAATGAAGAGGTAGAAGGTTGTAAACCAACAGGCTTGGTCTAATGGGTAAGTAGAGAACACTACAGGACTTCGCTGGTGGTCCAGTGGTTAAGCCTCCACAGTCCCAATGCAGGCGGCACAGCAGTTTGATCCCTGATCAGGGAGCAGTTCTGAAGGAGAAGAACTGGCAGGAGGATTTGACCTACCACGATGGAACAAGGTCAGAAAGCTGTTGTAATTAAGACAGTGTGGTTTTAACAGAGAGATAGAAAAATTGACTAATGAAAACACCAGAGAAGCCAGAGACACATCCACGTGTCTCTACAGAGTGGGCACATTCCAGAGTCCCACAGGTCAGCAGCCAAAGGATGGCCCTGTTGAGAATGGAGGCAGGAACCATTTTTGTTTCCATGGGGAAATGAATTGTGTTCATATCTATGTCACACAAAAATCAATTACAGATGGGTTACAGGTGGAACTTAAATGAGAAGTTAAAATGAGAATTTCTGCTCATCAAAACACACCTTAAAGGGAGAGAAAAGAGAAGGCACAAAACAGAGACAGATGTTTGTAAAATATTTGATATACTTGACAAAGACCTAGGTCTAGGTTCCAGAACATATCAAGAAATTCTTAAAAGTGAGTAAGGGAAAAGTAACAACTTAATAGGAAAAATGGGCAAAGGACATGAAAAGGCATTCCCAGAAGAAGAAAGCTGCACAGTGAATACATCTTGAGAAGAATATAAATTGGTACAATCACTTTGGAAATCAGTTTGGCAATATCTACTAAAATTGAACATGAACTTGTATCCTTTAACCTAGTGTAGAGAGTATACCCTAACCTTCTGGTGTGTCCACTAAGGACACTTTTGTCCTCGTGCATCACAAAACATAAAAGTGTTCTCTTTAATGTTGTTTGTTCCGGAGGGAAAGTAAACAGTTTATCAACAAGAGAATAGTCAGATTCTTCTGCAGTTCACACTCTATAGCCATGAACATAGTGAATAAATCTCACAGTTGTAAAGTTGAGTGTAAAAAAAAAAAAGAAGACACACTATATGCTTTCATATATATGAAGTTTAAAAGCATACAAACTTGTAGGTTATATGGATTATAACCTAAGGTTATATGGATATAGACCAGTGTTGTTCAGTCACTCAGTCGTGTCTGACTCTTTGTGACCCCATGAACTGCAGCACACCAGGCTTCCACGTCCTTCACTATCACCCAGAGTTACTCATACTCATGTCCATTGAGTCGGTGATGCCATCCAGCCATCTCATCCTCTGTCACCCCCTTCTCCTCCTGTCCTCAGACTTTTCCAGCATCAGAGTCTCTTCCAACAATTCGGCTCTTCACATCAGGTGGCCAAAGCATTGGAGCTTCAGCTTCAGCATCAATTCTTCCAATGAATATTCAGGGTTGATTTCCTTTAAGATGGACTGGTTTGATCTCCTTGCTGTCCAAGGGACTCAAGAGTCTTCTCCAACATTGCAGTTCAAAAGCATCAATTCTTTGGCACTCAGCCTTCTTTATGGTCCAACTCTCATGGATGGTCCAACCCTCCACATAACTACTGGACAAACCATAGCTTATATAAGTAAATCTGTAGATAAAGGAAGGGAAAGAAGAAGCACAAACTCAGGGTAGCAGTTGCCTCCACGAGGGTGGGTGGGGGTGGTGGGGGCGCTGTCGAGCATTCCTGGCTTCCTGAGAAGTTTGCCTGGAAGAGCTGGACTGCCAGTCCACCAACTAGCATTTGGACCAGAGGAACATCTTTCCACAGTCAGAGTACTTCTGGGGTGAGGTAGTACAGAAAGTGAGAAAACCTGTTTGGGGAACTTTTCCCCTGTTAGATGTGTGAGGAGGAGTGCTGTGATTGTCAAGACATCACCAGCATCCCTGTGCCTGATTCAATGCAGTATCAGTACCGTTGGATTCAGTTCAGAAACATTTACCAGGCATGTGGTGGGCACGATGTTAGGGACCTGGAACTCCAAAATTAATAAAAGATACGGAGGTGAGTAGCAGGACTGCAAATAAGGCAGACAGGTAAATTTGCAACAAAAAGTCTTGGGTGGATTTCTGACAAGGAGTACTTTGGTCCAGTAGGGACAAGTGGTGGGGAGATTGGGGGAGATTATGCTTCTCGAAGCTGAGTCTTGAAGGAAGAGTGGAAGTTAGATACAGAACAGACAATTCGTTCCAAGAAGAGTTTGGTTGTAAAGACACACAGAGGAGATGGGTGCTGTTCTGGAGCCTACACCTGGGAGTGGGAGAGAGAGAGGAGGCTGAGAGTGGAGTTGGGCTCCACATCATGCAGACATGGGGGCCCTCCCCATGCAGGTGGGGGAAATGACAGGGCCGGTGCCCCCAGAACCCCCTACTAGACAAGAGGAACAGGGAGGAGGCTGTGGGAGCCGTCCAGGTAAAGACAAGGGGGTGGGGAAGGGTGGTAGAGATGAAGATGAGGAGGTGAGTCAAGAAATATGGTGGTCGGTAGGCTGCAGACAGTTCTCATTGCCAATTCTGTAAGACAGCAGTCAGCATCCTTCATCCAGTCCTGGGATTTGCTAGTGGTGAATGGGCACACATGAGATGTCCCCTTGCCTCTCAAGTGATTTGTAACATTAATTTGCAAATGCAACACTTGGCCCTCAGTACATTTATGGCACTGCGGTTCTGTCACATTCGTACTAAAGCTCAGTAGCAGTATAGCTGAAATATGTCTTTGTTACAAAAATACCCTTCCTTGAGAAAATTCAGCTTCCAGTATAGTGCTTCCAAGATTAGTTCATACAAGAGGCAGTGAATGATCACTATAATTATAACATCGTGCCCATAAGGCTGGCTTGGTTGGATCTTCAACCAATCTTCTTGGTTGGATCTTGCTGCTTACAAGAAGTACTTTTTGTAATTTTATCATCTAAACAAGGTTAACATGTCTTATTTGTAATTGTAGTTGAGAATTCATGTGTTTCATCCACACTCTGTTTATTTCATGGAATATTTTCAGAAGCAGGATAAAAGATTCGCGTTTGCAGCTTGATGCTCAGAAGCATTATTTAAATTACCTTGGTCCCAATTTTTGTGACTAGAAGGCAAAAGGGAGGTCACAGAGCTTGTTCTTAGGTTTGGTTCATCCCTTGGCTCGGAAGGCAATAACCTTCAGGACGGAGAAGACCCTGCACTGTTTCTAACTGGTGGTCAAGTCCAGATCTATCTTCCCCTCCATGCTTCCAACTCAAAGTAGCTGATAGGTGAGGGAAGACAAGAGTTGCCCCATTTATTTGTTGTCCAAGATGCCTAAGAAATGGTTCAGCTGAGAAGATGCCCCAAAAAAGGAGTTTAGTCAAATCACCAATTAATTCAGTTAAATAACTTTAAGTTTTTCCACTTCTGAATTAAATAGTTTTAAAATGGAATTAGCCAAACAGCATTTTTAAGCCATTATTTAAATAATAGCAAAAGATTAGATGAAACTACCACCTTTTATAATACAGTTATCCCCTAAGATTTAAGTAAGAGAGCTTCTGTGCCTCAGTAATTATTGCCACTAAATCTTTAGTCCCAACTAACCAGCACACCCCTAAGATTGCTTTAAAATTAGATTCTTAATGAGGTTTTTCTGACCACCAAAACAAAGTAATCACTTTCTCTTTCTCCTTAAGAGCATTTTGCTACCCAGATTATAAACAGAAAGGTTTCCATTTCAGGCACGCATGAGAACTCTTATTAACAACGAAATGAAAGTCCCATTAAATTCTGTGTGGCTTTCTTATCCCTAGGTGACCAGCCTGCTGAGATGATCCCTTTGGTTGTGTCTTCACAGGATGCGGAAATTTGTTCACCAGGTTTCTCCATCTGATTCCCCATGACCAGCAATCCCTAGCTCCCCAGGCCAGCCGGAACTGAGTCTTAGTTCAAAGATACTGTGTGGTTGCTGAGTCAGACCAGACCCTAGAGCGCTTATGAAGCACCAGCTGCAACTTCAGTGTTTACATGGTCCCTAGTGTCTGCCACTGTCTCCAGAGGCACCTGGTCCTGGGTTCAAATCCTGACTCTCCTACACACAAGCTGAGGGCCTTGGGCAAATCACTTGAACTTGCTGATCTTCAGTCACCTGTTCTATAAAAAGGGGATAATAACAGGGTTGTTGTGAAAGCACAATTCAACAGTTTGCAAAAAGCCCAGTGCCTAACTGAGCAAACGTTCAGTAAATGTTAGCTATTTGCATGAATATTGAGCAGGTTAAGAATGTCATCTTTTAAGTCTTTTAACTTTTCAGTTTCAACAGAGAGTAATCTATTGTTGGAAATCAAAGGAAAGTTAGTTCTACATTTCAGAGGTGTCCCTTACACTTTTAAATCTATATATATGCATTTTTAAAACTTTTTTTTCCTTTTAGGCCGATTGTATCTGAGAGAAACGAACTTCTCATTCAGTTTTTATCAGATTTAAGTTTAACTGCAGATGGATTTATCGGTCACTACAAATTCAGGCCCAAAAAATTGCCGACAACCACTGCACTGCCTGTTACCACCACCTTTCCGGCGACTACAAGTAAGTCTGCTTTGAAATTTCTACTCAGACTTGAGGAGTATAAGAAAAATTCTTCTGAAGTGGGGGAAAAAAAACAACTGATTAAGAGGAAAATACTTGAAACTAAAATAAGTTAAATAAGACAAAAACCTACATAAGAGAATAATATGATTCCATTAAGGAAAGAAAAGTATAAGATATAAGAATGCTTATAAGCTAATAATTTTAAAATGTTATCCAAGAAAATTATGGTCACTTAAAAATACTAGGAACCCTATTATAGGTAGAGATCATAACAAGCCTAATTTTCTTTCTTGGCATTTATAAAATCATGTTTTTCTGTTTATTACATAGAACTGTAGTATTTTGGGTTAAAATTTCAGGGCCCTGATTCCTGCCTGTTTTCATTTCTGCCAGTATTTGGACTTCGTTGTGGGCAGGGGTATGATCCAAAATGTGCCATACAAAATATATTATTGTTTCAAACTGGAGTAAATCAAACAAAAATATTCTATGTATTGTAGACACCAATTGGGGACCTCTGGTCTGGGTATGACCTAAGAAATGCAAGGGCAACAGAGGGTTCCTGTTTCTTGTCTCTACACCCCGTCAGCACAGCCCTCCAGGATTTCAGGCCTCAGATCTCAAAATCTAAGAGGGAGGAGAAAAAAGTGGGAAGGGGGAATCTAAGGTTAAGACGTGAAATAGGCTGAAATAAGCCCAGCTTTATTGCCCACCATTTTCTGCCAGTTCGCAGAGAGGGCTGTCCTGAGTACAGGCACTTCCAGAAGGGCTGATTTTTCTGAGCCCTCCGCAAGTGTGCCGCCTTGTGGCCCGGAAGTGTACTGCCGCACATCGCAGCAGTATTTCTCCAGGTCTCTCAGTGGACCTTGGTGTCCTTATTCTTTCCAGTGAATCATCTGTCTGCACCCATGTGGTTCTCCAGCTTTTATATCCAGTCCTAAACTTTCTATGAAGTTGCAAACATGAATTTTTAATTATCTCCTACAGGTTTGCAACTGCTAGCCATTGAAATGAAAATATATCAGATTTAACTCATTTCTATCACACTATATTCTGTCTCATTCCTGCTTCTCCACCTGTTTTCTCAAGCCTGGGCCACAGCATCTGTAGCCACACTCCTAGAGTTCCCTTGACTTCCTCTATCTTAACTCCCCACAGCATGCCCTGTCCCTTCCCCCGACTCCCAACAGCGCAGACTGTATCTTTCCCCCTCTTGTCTACACCTATGCCTTCCAATACGGTGGCCACTTTTAGATGCTTGAAATGTGATTAGTGCAACTAAAGATTTGCATTTTTAACTTCATTAAATTTAAAAAGCCTCCTGTGGCCAGCGGCCAGACCAGAGGACAACACAGGGGCCAATCTCCTTCACATTTTGTCCCTGGGGCCTCTCCTAGCTTCATCTTTGGGCTCTATCACCTTGCTCCTTATGCTCTAAGTATTTGGGATTTTATCCTAAGTGTGGAGGAAGCTGTTGGTGGATTTAAGCAAAGTTCAGGGTTAGATTCTCACTTAATGTTGAGACTTCATCTCACTCAGATGTTGATGAGACTTTAAACAAGAGCAGGAATAGAGTGGTACCATCTGATTTCATGATGTGGAGACTGCCAGACACCCTGGCAGGGGTTGTGTGAGCCGAGCGGTGCAGGTAGAAGCTGGACGAGGGCGAGGGGGTGTGCGGAGCATGGCAAGGAAATGAACACCGAGTCCAGCAACTCAGTCTGAGGGTTCGGCCCTGAGGAAGGGAGGTAGAGAGCCTGAGTGTTTGAACGTGGTGAAGCTAAGGGGAAGTAGCTTGCAAAGAGGGAAAACAGAAGGGCGGAGCAAGGGAGTAACTGAGGTGGAAATTTCCACAAAGATGGCAGGGTCTGGCCTCCAGAGGGCATGCAGAAGGACAGACTTTAGGCCAGAGGTAGACAGCCTCCTCTCTTAGGAGAGGAAGGAAGTGAGGGTACAGATGGAGACAGCTCGGAGGTCTGGTGGAGACATTTTGTTCTGTGATCTTTGTTCTCACCAGAAAATAGGCAAGGTCACCCGCTGAGAACGAGAAGGGAGGTGGGAGCCCTGGGGGTTGTGGGGGCAGCTTGTCACTTGGATGAGAGTCTGTTTGTGTTCTCAGCTGTCTGTGAGCAAGCACAGAAAGAGGAAAGAGTCTCCTACAGGACTTCTAAAGGTCAGAGGGCAGAGGGCAGAGGGCAGGAGTGTAAGTATTGTTAAGAAGATGACTGAACTAATGGACCATGAAAACTATGTGGAGAAGCTAAGGAATTAAGATGGGCCAGGTCGATGAAGTGGGAAATAGGAGAGGGGTCAGTATGTTGAACCTCTAAAGAAATAAAGAATAAGTAGTCATGAGAGTAGGAGATTAAATAAATAAGCATGAAGGAGAGGAGGTTCTGTTGGATGAAGGATGAGAGATTGGTGATGAGACTTCAGCAGAAGGACACATGAGCTTGGGACTGAGGGGCAAAGATGGATCAGAGGGAACATCTGGGGTGGGGGGGAGGGTTGAGGCTACAGCCAGAGAGGGATCGTTCCCAAGGAGGGAGGACCCACCGAGATGGTTGAGGGAGCACGTGAAGAGGAAAGATGAAAACCCTGTGCCACACTTGGGTGTGCCGGGCAGCAGAGAGCAGACAGGAAGATGAAGAGTGTCAGGGTGGGACACCCACCCAACCCACCCAACGTCCAGACTAATGTCCTGAGGCTGAGAAGGAGCTGATTTCAAGTGGTCCTCGTAAGAAGATGCTCTTTCATCAGACAAGGAGAACCACTAAGGCACTTAGCTTTGGACTCAGTGAATTAGATAAATTTAGGTCCCCAACTTTTAGAACAATATTCCCTCTAAATGCTTTCTGAGCTCTTTCTCTAATATATATATATATATATATATATATATATATATATATATATATATATGCTATTATGTATATTTTAACATTATGTGTGTATATTTTAATATTGTAATCCACTTTAGATCCTTTTGGAGATAAGTAGGGATACAAATTAAGAGTAAATTCACAGAAGGGTTAGCAGAACATATTAGAAGGACAAATTACCCAATATGTACAACTCTATGACAGTTGTTCTGTTTAGTTCTTCCTAACGTGTTGCCACATATAAGGGAATCATTACCAAATGTTTTGGAAACATTTTTAATGATGATAATGAGGATTAAATATTTTCATTTCATTTCATAAGGATTAAATATTATCATCATCATATCACAGCTTTCCAACCTTGGCACTATTTACATTTTTGGCCAGATGATTCTTTGCTGTTGGGGGCTGTCCTGTTCACTGTGAAATGTTGAGCAGCATCACTGGTTATCTATCTACTAGATGCTGGTATCATCCCCTAGTTGTGACTGCCAAAAATATTTCCAGAGTTTACCAAATGTCCCCTAGTGGGAGAAATCACCCCCAATTGAGAACCACTGTGTTTATCTATTTAGCTGTACTTTAAATTTGTCTACTCAGTTCTTAAGATCCTTATAGGCAATGACAGGCTCAAAATGTTTTAGTGATGGATTGCATCTAATTACAGATATAGCACACTTCATCGCATGAGCATTGTTCCCCAAAACCTGTAATACTAACATTTGGGTAATTGTGTATTTCAAATGCACCAAGAAAACTCCCTCCACTCAGGGGAGCCCCATAAGATTCCTTTGGTGAGGTGAAGAGTTAACCTATTCTGTGTTCTTATTTGTTGTTCTGGGTTTTTGGTAAGCAGGGCACATGAGACTGTATCTATTTTTGGTTACAGCATTAGTTATATATAAAGGAAGAAGAGAATAGGGCTAAATTTGGGTTATCTTTGCTCTCAGGTTTAAAGCTCAGCAGAAGCCTTTGAGTTACCCTGAGGAAATTAAGAGTAGAAGTTGGTAACATGAGGAATATCCTTTGCAGGTTCTTTAATTATTTCATTGCAGTGACGGATTGGTGGCTCAGAGAAATATACGGGAATTTTAAATGGACTTATTCAGATCTAAACACCAATTATATATGCATTCATTTCCCTGAATCTTGTGTATTTCTTCTTGGAATGAAGGTTTAAAGCCTACTGTGGCCCTGTGTCAGCAGAAGTGTAGACGATCGGGGACCCTGGAGAGCAATTATTGCTCAAGTAACTTCGGTAAGAAAGAAAACCCAACCTTTCCTCTTTAATCAGAAACCTGAAACTGCATGCTTAATCTCAAAGGAACTGCCATGAATGGGATGGTAAAAGGTCAGTTACACTCTGCATCTACCCAGGAAAATATTTTCCTCCACACTAAGGTGTGTTGCACCATTTGAAGTATGAGTTCACAACTGAGAAAAATGTGTACAGAAAATATACATTTCTCACATAAACTTAAAACTTAATAATTTGACTTCTGGTATATGACAGTGCTGTTCTGTGTATTCTGGCTAGCTCAGTGTTCCCCCCACCCCAGAAAAAAAGCCCGGCATCCTTTCTTTTTTCTCACGTAGTTTTCATGTACTGAGTATTTTTTCACACATCTGTAAAATGTTACATAGTAAGAAGAGAGAGTTACATAATGAAAAGCAATGGAATTTTGCTGGAGTTTTTCTAACCAAGGAAATATTTAATGTTATACCTCAGTTCTATACTTGTTAATTGAGATAAAAAGGATGGATAAGAAAGAGAATATGAAAGACCCAGAGGGACTTCCCTAGAAGTCCAGTGGCTAAGACTCCGAGCTCCCAATGTAGCTTGGGTTCGATCCCTGGTCAGGGAACTAAGATCCTGAATGCAGCAACTAAGACCCAGCTCAGCCAAATAAATAAATAAAAAGAGAGGAACCAGGGGGAGATACAGAAAGGTAAGTGCTCACCCACACAGACACAAGGACTCAGATCTTTATGGCTCAACCCTCCATCATGCAACTTCTTATTATGGCACTGCCTTAAAGATACACGGTCCTGTTGAGTATTAACAAGCAGAGGTGCAATTACCATGTTTGGTAATTGATCCCCACGTTGGATAAAACATTGGAACAAGTCTCTGTCTCAGCAACTGACTGCAGTTTGGTAGTTATTTTGTTTTTTTTCAATGCATAACAGCTAGGGTAACATTACAGCCACATGACTCCTGTTTTTCAACCTGAATTTTGGTGACAGATATACAGAATTAAATTTAATGACTCTTATTAGGCCCTTCTTTCTAACATTAAAATGTTTCCCATCTGAAAGTTAGAGGAATGTATCAATACAACTATTTTCAGTTCTGCTTACATTTGTCTTCACTGTTCTATGATTTAAAAAATGTTTTCTTTTGCAGTCTTGGCCGGCACTGTCATCACCACCATCCCTCGAGGTGGGAGTTTGCATGCCACGGTCTCGATCATCAACATTTATAAAGAGGGCAATCTGGCAATTCAGCAGGCCGGCAAGAACATGAGTGCCAAGGTCATCGTGGTCTGCAAGCAGTGCCCACTCCTCAGAAGAGGTGAGCAGGAAGAAAACTCCATTCTGTCTTCCAGGGGAGCTCAAGGGCAGAGAAGGAGAGCCTCTCTGAACAAGTCATGGATCTTTCCACACCATGGCTGGTCTAGAGAAGTCAAGTCATGGCTCATGTATTGCCCACTTCTGATGGAGAAGGAGGGCCTTTGGAGTCAGGCAGAACTGGGCTCCAATCTCAGTTCCTGTAACTTATGGAAGAAGACAGGATGATGGAAATGGTCAGTGAGTTCAAGAAGCATTTGAAGTTGAATCAATAGGGAAGAGACAGAAAGAGGTTCAGGAGAAAGATTTTCAGCTATTGCACTTAAAGTACCACTACTATGTGGAGAGGAAAATATCTATCAAGGAATAGGAAACTCAAGGACTTCCCTTGTGGTCCAGTGGCTAAGATTCTACACTCCCAATGCAGGGGGCCCGGGTTCAATTCCTGGTTCAGGGAACTAGATCCCACATGCTGTAGTTAAGAGTTTACATACCTCAGTGACCATTGAAGATCCCGTGAGCAGCAACTAAGACCCAGTGCAGCCAAATAAAAATATTTTTTAAAAAAAGGAACAGGAAATTCAGAGCTGGTGTTCAGAAGAGAGAGGTATCTATGGGCTAGAATGAAAGATCTGGGGCTCATCTGTAGATATGAGATTATTAAATTCACGGGTGAGAGTGAGCTTATTAAGATAAATTTTAGGAAAAGGAAAATTACCCTAGAGCCAGAGCACATGATTTTTTAAAACAGGTATATAAAAGTAATGTTATGTTCTATGGTTTTTTAAAAAGTTAAATAAGTAGTGCATGCTTTAGTCTGTTTGGTCTGACTCTTTGTGACCCTATGGACTATATAGCCCGCCAGGCTCTTCTGTCCCTGGAGATTCTCCAGGCAAGAATACTGGAGTGGGTTGCCATGCCCTCCTCCAGGGGATCTTCCCAATCCAGGGGTTGAACCCACATCTCTGATGTCTCCTGCATTGGTAGGCAGTCTTTACCACTAGTGCCAACTAAGTAGAGAAGGATTTAAAATAAAAAGGGAAGCCCTTTCCCTTTCCCTGGAGGCACAATGAAAAGCTCCTTCCAGAAAGTTCTGTCCATGTAAAAATGTACATACCCATGTAGACAAATGGGATCTTTCTACACATATTCTGCTCAAACTTTCCTCCACATGATATGTACGTGGACAGCTTTCCATCAACAGCACATACACAGCTCTCTCCTTCTTTGGAATGGCAGTAATGGCAGTAATGCCTGGCACTCCACTGTGTGATGAACCATGACTTCCCATCCACATCAGCTTGTTCCTTTTCTCAGTCTTATTACAAACCTCTTCCACAATCAGAAGAAGCCAAACCTCTACCACACATACAGAAATACAGATATCCACATTAAGAAAGCTTTACTACAAATTCAGATTGTTCAGAAAAGTCAGAGGCCAGCAGCTTCATATTGACTCTATTTTTGAAAAAATATATATAGTGTAAGAAAATCTTTCTACAATAAAATGGAAAATGCCAGAAAGGGAAATTTTGATCGGTTTTATCATAACAGATTTGATTTTCAGAGCTTCATATAACATTATAAATGAGATTAAAATGCAAACAAACATGATAAATAAAATGGTAGAGTAATTTCTGAAAACACAATGGATAAAAGGTTGGTATTATTTAAGTAGTATTAAGGACTTGATTTCTGAATAGAAAATAATTGGTGATTTCAAAGCAAAATGTGGAAAGGATATAATCAAGAATAAATTATAAATTAATACAGTAACATTGTACCTCACTACTAAGAAAAGGAGTGAGCATCAGAAAAATAAGACCAATACCACCTTATAGTTTGTTGAAAAAAACAACATAGTACAACTTTCATATGCTCACATACTGTTGCTCAGAAATTACACTCTAAAACATAGTTTCTTAAAGAAATAATCAGAGAGGAGCACAAATATGCATGCAAAACACATAAGTTCCAAATAATAATCCCATTGACTCAAGAGGGAATAGTAAAGACTCTGTAAAAGGTAAGACTTCTTGCCAGAAGTATCTGGAACAGCAAATAATCCAAGCATGGACACTTACTGTCATATCTCATCTCATCTCATCAGATCTCATACTTAGTGTCATCTCTAGTGTGGTGGCATCTGCCCGCCCAGCCTGCCAAGCCTCCACAGGCTCAGGACCACTACGGTTATAGTGGCAGACCATAGAAGAAGGCTTATACAGGGGAAAATGTCTCTTATGACACACAGAGGGAGAAGGAGAATAAAGGCGGTGGTAACACATACATTTTTCTGAAGCAATGTAAATCTTCAGAGTTGAACCCAACATACTTCAGTGTGGGCTCCAGTCTAGGCCTACCTACCTTAACCAGACACGCAGATATATTAAAAAAATAGAACAACAGATAGAAGTACTTTTTAGTACATATCTTTTTAGGGACTATAAGAACATAAAGAAGTATATGGTCCAACCATGCCCTCAAAAAACTTACATAGTATAAATGTTGGAGGGGTTAATGAAAAGTTCAGGACAGCAACTTGGAAGACAGTGGATCAATAGTTTCCAAATGCCTGGGGAGATCCAGAAGCCTAGTGGGACCAGGAGGGGCCTTCTGAAGACAGCCCCTTGAGGAAGGAGAGCTTTTCATAGGAATAGTGTTTGTAGAGGACACTCAGTAAATACATTAGACCTTATGCAGAGCTGGACCTGACTGGGTCTAATCATTCCATCCAGTTTCCTAATGTAAGCAGACCTGGAACATTCTATTCTGTCAAAGTTAGATTTTTTTTTTTTTCAATGAGAGTGTTAAACAAGATTTTATGCTAGAAAGAACAAATATCTATTTACACCATTTGTAGAACATTTACCTGGAGGTAAGTTATAGTCTAAGTTGTTTCAAACCAACACACACACACAGAAAAAAATTAATCTTACATTCTCTTTTAGGTTTAAATTACATAATTATGGGTCAAGTGGGTGAAGATGGGCGAGGCAAGATCATGCCCAGCAGCTTTACCATGATGTTCAAGACCAAGAATCAGAAGCTCCTGGATGCCCTGAAGAACAAGCAATGTTAACACTGTGTCCATTTAAGCTGCGTTCTGTCACTGCCTTTGAAAGATCTTTTTTCTCAGTAGAAAAAGAAAATTTATAACCTGAAATATTGAGCATTCAGAGAGATTTACTCTTCACAGGATGTAGGTAGGAGAGCTTGGGTGTTGCTGATGGAAGTTCTGTTGCCTGCACGGAAGAGGAGCAGATATCTGATTGGAAGCCTGCAGACTCAGTGGGGTGATGAGACTAAATGTATCAAACGTTGACAGTTTGGAAGCAGTTTATTTATGCATCTCTGTAAAAGGATATTTTAGAAATGAGTTGTGTGAAGATGTAAAAAAGAGATTTTTATATGTGCAATATTTATAGTGATATTTGTTTTACCTTCAAGCATTTGCTCTGAGGTGTTATATTCTTCTCTCGCATTTTTAAAACCAGTGCTTAATAAAATATTTTTAAATGATTATATAACTGCCATTAAACTTTTTTTTATTAAAAAGTGGAACAACATGAAAAGACTATTCCTTGGCATTTACCTGTAAGGTTGTCCTTGTATCAAGTGGCTTCTCTCATAGCTCAGTTGGTAAATCATCTGCCTGCAATGCAGGAGACCCAGATTCGATTCCTGGATCGGGAAGATCCCCTGGAGAAGGAAATAGCAACCTACTCCAGTATTCTTGCCTGGAGAATCCCACGGACAGAGGAGCCTGACAGGCTACAGTCCACGGGATCGCAAGAGTCAGACATGACTTAGCGACTAAACCACCACCACTGAAAGATGAGTCCAAGGACGACAGGAACCATTTGGATCCAGTCATGTAAATAGACTATAATTCTTTTCTGCAGAACCAGAGAATTGAGAGCTGGAATGGTGTCCCTCAGGAATCTCGTTCAGGTCATTCACTTTGTAATAGAAATGGAAGCTTGGGTATATTTAGTAACTTGTTCAGAGCACACACCTCCCAAAAGACAGAACAGGCAAAGCTCAGAAGTCCTAAGTCCAAACCCAGTGCCCTTCCTGCCACTAGAAGAGGTCTTCTCTGCCCCAGAGGAAAACTCTCTCATCTTGCAGAGTTCAGTCTTTGTTTTCCTAGCCTAAATCATAATTAGTCATTTTATAGGACTTGAATTAGAAGTACAGAAATTAGAAGGGCACCTCCCACCGCTGTTTTGTTCATCCCTAGTTAACTGGGTCAGGGTGTATCTGATGGGATGCATTCTGCCACTGCCTTTAAAAAATCTATACTCACCCAGGAGAGGAAGAACTGTAAAAGGGCTCCCATAGTGTGCAGAGCTACTTAAAATGCAGCCGTGCTTGCCGGGGGTGTGGCAACCAGCCTCAGGATGTTGTCGGCTGGCCGGGAGCTGCAGAAGAGGGAACAACTGTCCCTATCCAAAGAAGGTAGAAAGCACATGAGGGGATAAACACAGACTTGGGTCATAAGGTCCCTCATAGCTGAAGCAATGTTTTAGAAGTAAGGGAAAATACTCCTTTGGGTAAAAATAATAACTCCCAGCCCTAGATGTGACCAGACACTCAAAGAGCAGAAAATGGAAATTCAAAAGGAAGAATCCTGCTTGGGCAGCTAAGGGAGCAGAAGAAAGCAATGAATGCGGGCTAGTTTGAGGGTCAGGAATCATTCCTAAACTCTCCCAGTGGGATGAGCATCAGTACCAGGGAATACAGGGTGTCCCTGGTGGCTCAGCAGTAAAGAATCCGCCTGCCAATACAGGAGATGTAGGTCAACATAGGTTTGATCCCTGGGTGGGGAAGATCCGCTGGAGAAGGAAATCGCAACCCACTCCAGTATTCTTGCCAGGGAATTTCCACGGACCGAAAAGCCTGGAGGGCAATAGTTCAAGGGGTTGCAGAGTCAGACTCAACAACTAGACAACAACAACCAGAATTCGCCAGCTGAGAAGTGGATGAACCAGAGGAGCTGGTGGGTGGCTTCCCTGGCCAGTGCCACCTTTTAGAAAAGCCCTCTCAACCCACAGAGGGCACAGGGCAGCTGCGAGCAGCCAGGATTTAACTGTGGAATCCTGATTGATTCCACCCTTCTCTAGACAGCTCAGTACTTTTCAAGAATGCATGTTGTGGTACCTTGGGAGCAATTAAGAAAGATTTTAGCATTTCTTACAGAAACTTATTGGTGTGCCACCGGTAGCAGGCTTGCAGCCATCATCTTCCTTCACAACCAGTGAAAATACCTCCATAGGTTTCTGAGAGCAGGTTGGAATCACAGTGAGGTAAAAAGTAATCCAGACTATTCATACCACTGACATTTCTGACAGAAGACTTAGAACCGTTGATGGGATTAGTGGTTAATAATAGATGGCAATGATTTTTTTTTTTAACAATTTTTTTCTTTTTATTTTTTTTATTGAAGGATAATTGCTTTACAGAATTTTGTTGTTTTCTGTCAAACCTCAACATTAATCAGCCATAGGTATACCTATATCCCCTCCCTTTTGAATCTCCCTCCCCATTCCACCCCTCTAGGTTGATACAGAGCCCCTGTTTGAGTTTCCTGAGCCATACAGCAAATTCCCGTTGGCTATCTATTTTACATATGGTAATTAAGATTCTATGTTACTCTGTTCATACATCTCACCCTCTCCTCCCCTCTCCCCATGTCCATAAGTCTATTCTCTATGTCTGTTTCTCCATTGCAGCCCTGTAAAAGAGTTCTTCAGTACCATTCTTCTAGATTCCGTATATATGTGTTAGAATACAATATTTATCTTTCTCTTTCTGACTCACTTCACTCTGTTCACCCACCTCATCAGAACTGACTAAAATGTGTTCCTTTTTATGGCTGAGTAATATTCCATTGTGTATATGTACCACAACTTCTTTATCCATTCATCTGTCGATGGACATCTAGGCTGCTTCCGTATTCTAGCTATTGTACATAGTGCTGTGAAGAGCAATGGGATACATGTGTCTCTTTCAATTTTGGTTTCCTCAGGGTATATGCTTAGAAGTGGGATTGCTGAGTCATATGGTGGTTTTATTCCTAGTTTTTTAAGGAATCTCCATACAATCTTCCATGGTGGCTGTATCAATTTACATTCCCACCAACCTTTTCTCCACACCCTTTCCAGCATTTATTGTTTGTAGAATTTTTGATGAGGGCCATTCTGACTGGTGTGAGGTGATATTTCATTGTATTTTTGATTTGCGTTTCTCTAATAATGAATGATGTTGAGCATCTTTTCATGTGTTTGTTACGATGTGTATGTCTTCTTTGGAGAAATGTCTATTTAGGTCTTTTTCTCACTTTTTGATTATGTTGTTTGTTTTTCCAGTATTGAGTTGTATGAGCTGCTTGTATATTTTGGAAATTATTCCTTTGTCAGTTGTTTCAGGAGAAGGCATGGGCAAGCCACTCCAGTACTCTTGCCTGGAAAATCCCATGGACGTGGACGGAGGAGCCTGATAGGCTGCAGTCCATGAAGTCGCTAAGAGTCAGACATGACTGAGTGACTTCACTTTCACTTTTCACTTTCATGCATTGGAGAAGGGAATGGCAACCCACTCCAGTGTTCTTGCCTGGAGAAACCCAGGGACGGAGGAGCCTGGTGGGCTGCCGTCTATGGGGTTGCAGAGAGTCAGACACAACTGATGTGACGTAGCAGCAGCAGCAGCAGCAGTTGTTTCATTTGCTATTATTTTCTCCCTCTTCTGAGGGTTGTCTTTTCACCTTGCTTATAGTTTCCTTTGCTGTGCAAATGCTTTTAAGTTTAATCAAGTTCCACTTGTTTACTTTGGTTTTTATTTCCATTACTTTAGGAGGTGGGTCATAGAGGATCTTGCTTTGATTTATGTCATCAAGTGTTCTGCCTATGTTTTCCTCTAAGAGTTTTATAGTTTCTTGTCTTACATTTAGGTCTTTAATCCATTTTGAGTTTATCTCGTGTATTGTGTTAGGAAGTTTTCTAATTTCATTCTTTTACATGCAGCTGTCCAGTTTTCCCAGCACCATTTATTGAAGAGGCTGTCTTTGCACCATTGTATATTTTTGTCTCCTTTTCAAAAATAAGGTATCCATAGGTGGATGGGTTTATTTCTGGGCTTTCTGTCTTGTTCCATTGGTCTATATTTCTGTTTTTGTGACAGTACCATGCTGTCTGGATGACTGTAGCTTTGTAGTATAATCTGAAGTCAGTAAGGTTGATTCCTCCAGCTCCATTCTTCTTTCTCAAGATTGCTTTGGCTATTCAGGGTCTTTTGTGTTTCCATATGAATTGCAAAATTTTTTGTTCTAGTTCTGTGAAAAATGCCATTGGTAATTTGATAGAGATCACATTGAATCTATAGACTGTGTTTGGTAGTATAGTTATTTTCAGAATATTGATTCTTCCTACTATCTCCATCTGTTTATGTCATCTTTAATTTCTTTCATTAATGTCTTATAATTTTATATATACAGTTCTTTTGTCGCTTTAGGTAAGTTTATTCCTAGATATTTAATTATTTTTGTTGCAATGGTGAATGGTATTGACTCCTTAATTTCCCTTTCTGATTTTTCATTGTTTCATATAGAAATGCAAGTGATTTCTGTGTATTGATTTTGTATCCTAAAACTTTGCTAAATTCACTGCTGAACTCTAGTAATTTTCTGATAGTATCTTTAGGGTTTTCTAAGTACAGTATTATGTCATCTGCAAACAGTGAGAGCTTTACTTCTTCTTTTCTGATCTGGATTCATTTTCTTTCTTTTTCTTCACTGATTGCTGTAGCTAGGACTTCCAGAAATATATTGAATAATAGTGGTGAAAGTGGACACCTTTGTCTTAGTCCTGATCTTAGGGGGAATGCTTTTAGTTTTTCACCACTGAGAATAATGTTTGCTGTAGGCTTATCATATATGGCCTTTACTATGTTGAGGTAGGTCCATCTATGCTCATTTTTTGAAGAGTTTTAATCATAAATGGTGCTGAATTTTGTCAAAGGCTTTTTCTGTGTCTATAGAGATTATATTATTTTTATCTTTCAATTTGTTAATATGGTCTATCA